AAAGGTCAGCAAATAATGTTTAATTTGCGTGTTTGTGCCACAAACGATTCTTGATCATGGGAAATGTTGCCGCAACACTACAGAGATCATCAATGAAAATGGCATACTCACCGGATTTCACGAAATTATTAACAAACTGTTAACCAGGAATGCTGATAACCATGATCTTTGAACTTTGACAAATAGATTCTACAGATAAAGTCAGACTATTGAATTATTTGGGAAAGGTATTACAATCTCTCTAACTGTTGAAAAAAAAAAGATGAATTAATTCTTTTATTTTCATCACTTAAAACATAATAGGATATTGTTGTCATGGATGTTGACATGGACGATTCCGGAAAAGATAATCCACCAATCTTGCCGGAGATTGATCTTTATCTCCATTTATTGATGATGATATATTTGCTAGATAAGCAAGAGTTTGACAAGGTAACTTATTTAACATTTTTTCCTATTTTAATTGTAAGGCATTAACTAAGATTCTCTAATTAATATAAGGGTATTCAACTTTCTAATGAAACGATTGCCAAAATTCGAAGTTTGAATCGTCGTACGTTAGATCAGTTGTCCGCACGTATCTATTTTTATTATGCTCGATTCTACGAGCTTACAGGAAATTTGGCTGTAATTAGACCGTATGTTTTTTCACGTCTTCTCAGTTAAACCATTTTTGTTATTTAGGCTAAATTACAATGAATTTCGTTACTTAGAACTTTGTTAGCGGCTCAAAGAACTGCAACTTTACGTCATGATGATGATTCTCAGGTATTTTAATGTTTAATATCATGTTTCATTTCTGAAATTTTCAAATTAAAACTTCTGTATATGTATAGGCTACGTTACTCAATTTGCTACTGAGAAATTATTTTCATTATAATTTGTACGATCAAGCTGACAAGCTTGTCAGTAAAACTACCTTTCCTGAAACTGCTGGAAACAACCAACAAGCTAGATATATGTATTACTTAGGTAGATTCTTTTAATACCTTTAAGCTGTTACATATATCATGTACATATGACTGCTGCAGAGCAAGAACCTGTAACTGACCATAGTAAATCATTATGATCAGTTACAGGTTTTCGCTCTGTAATATTCATATCATGTGCATAGTAATATTAATTGAATCTCCATTTTTATTTAGGTCGTATCAAGGCCATTCAGCTTGATTACACAGTATCGCATACTCATTTATTGCAGGCCATTCGCAAAGCACCTCAAAATGCCGTGACGGCTGGTTTTCAGCAAGCGGTAAACTATCTTTGAATTATTACTGATTTTTGTACTTCAATAACAAACACATCAAATCGCTGAATTGAACACTATTAGGTCTATAAACTTTCGATCATTGTTCAACTTTTAATGGGTGAAATCCCTGAAAGATCTATATTCAGAAAACCGGTTTTAAAAAAACCACTAGTTCCATATTTGCATATTGTTCAGGGTAAATTGATGCTTTTATTACTCTTAAGAATCACTCTTAGGAATTGTAAACATATCTAACGATTTATATTGATACTTTATAGCTGTGCGAATTGGTGACTTGTCACAATTTCAAGAAACATTAGCTAAATATGGTGAGGTCTTCCGTGCTGATAAAACATTTACTTTGATCTTAAGGTAAGAATAATTTTATATGCATGTATTATGAATATTTGAGCTTTAATTATATAGAATATTATAACAAACACGTCAGATTACATTAACTTGTATATATATTTTTCAGACTTCGCCATAATGTAATCAAAACCGGTATCAGGATGATAAGTTTATCATATTCTCGAATTTCTTTGCGAGATATCTGTTTGAAATTGCATCTGGACAGTGAAGAGGATGCCGAGTATATTGTCGCCAAGGTTTGTCATAATATATTTTTCTTTAATGAAAACCCTCAATTATTTATTAGTTACCGCCATTTTTTAGGCTATTCGTGATGGTGTGATCGACGCTACTATAGATCATGAAAAGGGTTTTATGAAATCGAAGGTAATTGCTGTTGATAAATAGTTATTCATAATCTTAAGTTACTTTTTTTTTTTAATAAAATTTTAACTTTTAGGAAAACGTTGATATTTACTCGACAAACGAGCCTCAATTTGCTTTCCATCAACGTGCCAGTTTTTGTTTAAATCTCCATAATGAATCAGTCAAGGTTTGTAAAGCTTAATTTATGAATTTTCTTACTGTTATAATAATTCAATTTTTCAATTTATTCTCACAAAGGCAATGAGGTTTCCTCTTAATGCCCATCGAAAAGAATTGGCTTCAGCTGAAGCTCTGCGTGAAAGAGAAAGGGAACTTGCAAAAGAAATTGCAGAAGGTGAAATTGACGAAGATGATGATGTTGGAGATTTCTAATATTTATAGACTACTTCTTTTATACCGAACTTTATCTATAACGAACTAAGAAGTTCAAAACAAATAACATATTTATTTAGACCGGATATACCAACTTTATACAATAAATTTGCTATGCTGTATCCGAACCTGATTGGATCAGTATATGTATTTCGTCATATATATAATGAAACATTTATATAGTTAGACAAACGACTAGAATCTATTTTTAAGATCCATAGACCACCTGTGATTTTTCCGTCCTAATTTACCAAAAGTTTTGCCGTATTTTTTTAAACATTTTCATTGCTGCATCCGAAACTAGTGATTCTTAGTACTGTACCATGATCAGGCATCAGGCACGAATTGATCTTAATTCTTGAGTGTTGTAGAGACAGTTATGTAACACTTTATATGAGTCCTCTCTGTAATAGTGATTTCAGGATTTTATCGCCTCTTTTTAATCAAAATCGCGGAAAGTCTACGGGTGTGCCTTTTCACACCTAAATTCAAAAGTTTCATTATACGATATATAGTAAGTAAACTTATTTAAAATGATATTTGTACTCTATAAAATTTTATAAATTAATAATTGTTATAAAAATATTATGCTTGTTAATTTAGTTGATATATATATGGGCTAGAAAAGGGCCCAAATTGACAAAAAAAAATCATATATATATATATATATTATAAATCTTATAATAAATCATAAGAAAATATACAATTTAAAAGTTTATACTGCAAAATTTTATTAATATCTTTTTTTTTTATGTAAAAAATGATTCTAATCTTATTCTAAATTGATTTATATAAAAAAATTTCTTTTGAAAAAATTCTTTTTTTTTAGTACCTAGCCCATATATCTAAAAGGTTTATAATTTATAAAAAAAAAATAAAAATAAACTTGATATTTATTAAACTATTTTTTAAAATAAATTGGTTTAGAATTTTTAAATTAT